TAATTATTCAGGCCCCTATACTACCCCCTGAATCTGAAGCGCTACTGGTGAGGCGGGAAGCTTCATGTCGTTCGGCCCGGTGAAGCGGGTGGCCCAGGCCGGCATGGCATAGTAGGCGTCACCATCCTGCACAGGGGCTACGAAACCCCATCGTATATCATAGTATATTATGCAAGCTTATACCATATTCTAGTATACTATAGTATTTTATGGCATAATATCGTATACTCAAGCTTATCGTAGTATATCACACACATCTTGGGAGAAGCAGATTTAAGCTTCGGGTCCCCATGGTTTCATGCGGTGCTAGGCCCGGACTAAAGGCCGGTACAGGGTTCCTCAAGATGACATTGTCAGCCCGTGTGAAGGGCTTAAGGCTCAGGGTTCAATACCCCAAACTCTATAAGTAAACCCTAAAAGTATGCCTCATGCTCCTTTTCGGGACTCTCTGCGGTTGTCGATTAGGTAACCCTAACCCCACAGGTACCTACTNNGGCCCTAGGGGCTCTAGTACCTATATAGTAGGTACTTGGGGGGGTTAGGGTTAGGTAATGAACCCCTCCAACATGGGCCAACCTCAGGCACCACGTAGAGCTTGTACTTCGAGCCGATCGGCATGGTCGGAAGGCTGCAGCTCCAAATATCCGGCAGCGACTCCTCCTAAGGGACTCGCACTTATAAGAAGGAATACAATGAAGCATGTGCAGTCTACAAGATCATGTCTAGCCTATTGCGAACACACGGTTCTAATGGCTTGCAAGGCCATCACCTTGAACTTTTTATTGTCCTAATTTTGGTATGATTATGCTGCCCCTGCTACTGCTGATTTGGGCGGACTGTCGTCATGCGGGTGTGAATTTCGGAGCGCGTTAGGGCAAGAAGGCCAGGCCTGTGCCAGCGGCGTCGCGCTGGTGTCCCAGCCATTGAAATCCCCAACCAGATAAACTGCAGCTGCATAGGGCATCCATTCGCAGTATGTCCATTCAGAGCCGTCTCGCTGGAGACCGAAAGTCTTATAGCTTTCGGCAAGCTTGGCCAAGTCACCGCCGCATGCATCCAAATGCTCCTGGAAGGCAGCCAATCTGCTCTTGGACTGCTCCAGCTCCGAGACCTGTTCGTGCGTCTCCGCTAGTGCAGCATCCAGAGCCTCCAAATCCATGAAGTGCAGCCCGGAGTAGCACCGCGTCATGTCTCGAACGTCCACCCCGGCTTCTTCTGAAGCCTGGGGCTCAGCTTGCGGTTCTGCCGCCGCCGGTGGGGGCTGCACTGCCGGCGTGGGCTTTGCTGCCGGTGGGGGCTGCGCCGCCGGTGGGGGCTGCGCCGCCGGTTTGGGCTTCGCGGAATAGCCGCCAAGTCTTTCAGCAGCCGTCATCGGCTTTGGTGAAGGTGTTTCTGGGGTTGCTCTCGTGGGCGCCGGCTGTGGTGCTGGTTGCGGTGCTGGTTGTGGCGCTGGTTGCGGCACTGGCTGCGGCGCTGGCTGTGGCACCGGCTGTGGCGCCGGCTGTGGCGGTGGCTGGGCGGCTGGTTTGGGTGCCGGTTGGGGTGTTGGCTTGGGCGCTGGCTGGGGTGCTGGCTCCGGCACTGGTGTGGGTTCTTCAGGGGCCTCCTGAACTGGTTCAGGCATACCCTCAGGTCGCCCATTTCTGAGGTAGCCCAGGTGTGCCACAGTGTACTCACCAGGGAAATATATTCGGAACCTGGTATCTTTGGAGGCCTTGCAAGGCAAGATGCAGTTGTCTTCCGTGACAATGTCGAAGGTTGCGTCGAAGTTGTCTTTCAAATGAACGGCCCCATCCTCAAAGTCAAAATCCAACATCTCCTCATTTCCGTCCTTCTGGATCACTAGAGACCTCACTCTGATCTGTTGACAGAGTGGCTGCGTCAATGTAAGAACGAGAAGAACCCTCCAGCTTTTCATCGAAAACCCTGTGAAACTCCCCTTGAAATCTCCTTTCTCATTGCCAACAGAGGGACAGCTTGAGGCCGTCTGCGCTCTCCAGGTCGTACTGGCCCAGGAAGCTGTCTTCAACCTGAACCGGTTCTGTGCGACAGACGGGGGAGTTTAGTCGTCTTTGTCACCCGGGAGACATCAGATACGTGTCTGATCTCTCCGGCTAGCAAGAAGGCGAAGACGGCTGCTTCCCGGGGATGCGCACGAGGAGGGCACAAGGTGCAAATTTTCTTGAGATTTCTATAAACCCTCTGGAGTCCCTGCAATGTGCTGCGCCCTCCTGGCGTCTTAGCAAACCCTGTGGAGTGCTGAGCTCGACGCGTAGACATGCACTCCACCCTCCAGCCTGCTTTGCCTGCGGTGCCAGGGAGGAGTTTGCCAGTGTTGTGTACTTTTCTTCGCAGCACGCCCTGCAATGATCCTGATTGGAGTTCGGGCGCGATTCCAGTCGTGTTTCTGGACCTCTGAGTCTGTCTGCAACCTATGTAATGGATCAGCGTACAGCGTTTTAAGATGCTTAAACCGTACTTCTCCTAGTGATTTCCCTTCATTGTGTTGGCCTTTCGCTGGTACATGTAGCGCTGAGGGTCCCTCGACATGCCACAAGACTGAGCAATCTTAGAACCGTAAGGTTGGGCCGACACATGGCCCTGCAAGAAATGTTCTTAAACTGAAAACGGCAGCGACCCCTAAACCCCCAGGTACCTACTATATAGGGCCCTAGGGGCTCTAGTACCCTATATAGTAGGTACCTGGGAGGTTAGGGGACATGATAATAAACTTCCCAGAATTCGCAAACTAGCGGGACTTGAAGCCCCCAAGGCCAGCAAACACAACTACCGCCTACAAAGACGTGCCTGCAAAGCACCTGTGCTGTGCGGGAGGGCATATACAGCCTGGGCTTGGCATTGGCTGAGGAAGTGGAAGGCCGTCCCGTAGAAAATTAATGATATATGGGCGTTGATCTAAATTAGCTATCCCCGAAATGACCTTCTTCACGAAAATATAATTTTCTTTAGCGTAACTTTCGCCCTGACTTTCGCGCGCCCTTCGCGGACACATATTCAAGTATATATTGATACATATACCAGACTTCTACGAGGGCTCTGCATAGGATCCATAAGACTCTTTCAGGGTTCTAGTATAGGCGTTTGGGGCGGTTTAAATACTATAGGATTTAGCGTTCAACGTTCGGCGTGTAAGGTGCGGGCCTAGGTTGAGGCATGAAACGTGCCCACAAGGTCCAAGCTTCCCGCTGTAGTATTAGTGCTAGTGCTAGTGCGACTGTGCATGCTAGCGCCAGTCGTGCTATGTGCCAGTAGTAGCCGTGGACATAGCAATGGGCAGCTGCCTTGATGTGGCAACCTCGACTTT